CACTGAAGGTCCTTTCTGACAGGACACTTGAAGCAGGGCAGGCCAGAAGTTCTATCGCAAATTGGGATAGCTCAGGCCACAGGTCAAGCCTGCACACCCAGTAGTCAAGGGGTTCATCGCTCCTCAGAGTGTCGATATTTGCAGTTAAGGCGAGGTAGTCTGCTACCTGTCGGTCGAGTCGCTCTCTGAGGGTGGATCCCGAAGGGCTGTGGCGATGCTTAGGACTTAAAAAGGTCCGCATGTCCTCCATCAACAACACGTCTCTAAAGCGTCCTGTCCTTGCCGGTGTGGTCATGGGAGGAGGAGGATGACTTCCACCTCTCCCCCTGTTAGATTCCCGTTGTGCTGTGACATCACCCTTATACGCTGTGTAAAGCATACTTTTCAATTTATTTTGCAAATGCTGCATCCTTTCATACTTGTTGTAATTTGGTAACATTTCCGCCACTTTCTGATTATACCGGGGGTCTAGTAGCGTGGACACCCATTACAGGTCATTCTCCTCCAGCTTTTTAATACGAGGGTCCCTCAACAGGCACGACAGCATGAAAGACCCCATTTGCACAAGGTTGGATGCCGAGCTACTCATTTCCCGTTCCTCCTCCTCACTGATGTCAATGAAGGTATGTTCTTCCCCCCAGCCACGTACAACACCATAGGTACCAGATAGGTGACAACGAGCACCCTGGGATGCCTGTTGTGGTTGGTCTTGCTCCTCCTCTTTCTCCTCCTCAAAGCCACATTCCTCCTCTGACTCCTCTTCCTCACAATCCTCTTCCAGCGTTGCCGCAGGTCCAGCAAGCGATGCTGATAAGGCTGTTTCTGGAGGTGATGGTGACCCCAACTCTTCCTCTTCCTCTTCACGCTCATCTACGGCCTGATCCAGCACTCTTCGCAGGGCACACTCCAGGAAGAAAACAAATGGTATGATGTTGCTGATGGTGCCTTCGGTGCGACTGACTAAATTTGTCACCTCCTCAAAAGGACGCATGAGCCTACAGGCATTGCGCATGAGCGTCCAGTAACGTGGCAAAAAAATTCCCAGCTCCCCAGAGGCTGTCCTAGCACCCTGGTCATACAAATATTCATTAACGGCTTTTTCTTGTTGGAGCAGGCGGTCGAACATTAGGAGTGTTGAATTCCAACGTGTCGGTCTGTCGCAAATCAAGCGCCTCACTGGCATGTTGTTTCGCCGCTGGATATCGGCAAAGTGAGCCATGGCCGTGTAGGAACGCCTGAAATGGCCACACACCTTCCTGGCCTGCTTCAGGACGTCCTGTAAGCCTATGTACTTATGCACAAAGCGCTGTACGATCAGATTACACACATGTGCCATGCACGGCACATGTGACAACTTGCCCAACTTCAATGCCGCTAACAAATTTGTTCCGTTGTCACAAACCACTTTGCCGACATCCAGTCGCTGCGGAGTCAGCCACTTTTCCACCTGTGCGTTCAGGGCGGACAGGAGTGCTTGTGCGGTGTGACTCTCTGCTTTCAAGCAAGTCAAACCCAAGACGGCGTGACACTGCCGTATCCGGGATGTGGAATAGTACCTGGGGAGCTGGGGGGTGCCGTTGATGTGGAGCAAGACGCAGCAGCAGAAGAGGACTCAGCCGAGGAGGTTATGGAAGAGGATGGAGTAGGAGGAGTAGAGGAGGTGGCAGCAGGACTGCCTGCAAGTCGTGGCGGTGTCATTAACTCCTCTGCAGAGCCATGCATTCCATGCTTGGCAGCAGTCAGCAGGTTTACCCAATGCGCAGTGTAGGTGATATACCTGCCCTGACCATGCTTTGCAGACCAGGTACCTTGCCCCAACACTGTGTGCCAGACATGCTATTACTTCCTTTTGCACAATTGAGTACAGGTTGGGGATAGCCTTTTGTGAAAATAAATTTCGTCCGGAAAGAAATTTTGGCCGGGTACCTTCCACTGCGGTGTCCCAATAGCTACAAATTTTTGGAACGCCTCAGACTCCACCAGCTTGTATGGTAAAAGCTGGCGGGCTAATAGTTCGGACAAGCCAGCTGTCAGACGCTGGGCAAGGGGGTGACTTTCTGACATTGGCGTCTTACACTCAAACATGTCCTTGACAGACACATGACTGTGGGCAGATGAGCGGGAACTGCTCAAGGCGGGAGACGGAGTGGTGGATGGTTGAGAGGGGGCAAGGAGGACAGCAGTGGTTGATGTGGCTGAAGATGCTGGACCAGGAGGAGGATGGCGGCTTAGAGTAGGCGTGCTGCTTGTACTCATGTGTTGATCCCATAGGCGTTTGTGATGTGAGATCATGTGCCTACGCAAAGCAGTTGTACCTAGGTGGGTGTTGGACTTCCCACAACTCAGTTTCTTTTGGCACAGGTTGCAAATGGCATCGCTGTTGTCAGAGGCAGACACACAAAAATAATTCCACACTGCTGAGCTCTGCAATGACGGCATTCTGGTGGTGGACACAGCATGCGTTGATTGGCGTGCTGTCGGGCTGACCCCGGGTGTCGATGCATGCTGTCTGACTGTGCCACTAGCTCCTTGCGACGACCTCCCCCTGCTTCCAACTCGTCTCCTCCTCCTCCCTGTCTCCCCATCTGAACTTTCGCTCTGTTCTTCTTCTTGACGAGCGGGCACCCACGTGACATCCATGGACGCATCGTCATCATCAACCGCTTCACTTGTATCTGACAACTCAGCAAAGGAAGCAGCAGCAGGTACAACATCATCATCATCATCACACCGTACGTCCATGTGTGTAATGCTGCCTGCCTGAGACATATCCTTGTTATCTACATCCTCTGGCAATAATGGTTGCGCATCACTCATTTCTTCAAACGGATGTGTGAATAACTCCTCTGACATACCAAGTAAAGCTGCTGTGGTGCTAGTTTTGGTGGTGGTGGCGGCAGGCGGGTGAGTGGTATCTTGAGAGGTGCCTGAAGCTAAGCTGGAGGAGGATGGTGCGTCAAGGTTCTGAGCTGAGGCTGTAGAAGATTGGGTGTCCTGTGTTAGCCAGTCAACTATGTCCTCAGAACTTTTCAAGTTCAGGGTACGTGGCCTCTGAAAACTGGGCATTATTCTAGGGCCAAAGGGAATCACAGCACCACGACCACGATGGCCCCTGCGGGGTGGCCTGCCTCTGCCTGTCATTTTTTGGGGGATTAGTGGTACTATGCGTGCAAGCTACTGTGAGACCAGAGCACAGGCTGTAGGCCTGACACAGCCGCTTGAAGGACACTGACTGCTATTCAATCTATAACAGTGAAAAAAGTTTTTTGTTTTTAAATGCAATCTATTGTGACACCAGTGAGTGGTGGCACTGGGCACCGTATCCACTGTGAGCTTAACACACCCGCTTTAAGGACACTGACTGCTATTCAATCTATAACAGTGAAAAAAGTTTTTTGTTTTTAAATGCAATCTATTGTGACACCAGTGAGTGGTGGCACTGGGCACCTTATCCACTGTTAGCATAACACACCCGCTTTAAGGACACTGACTGCTATTCAATCTATAACAGTGAAAAAAGTTTTTTGTTTTTAAATGCAATCTATTGTGACACCAGTGAGTGGTGGCACTGGGCACTGTATCCACTGTTAGCGTAACACACCCGCTTTAAGGACACTGACTGCTATTCAATATATAACAGTGAAAAAAGTTTTTTTGTTTTTAAATGCAAGCTATTGTGACACCAGATATAAGTGGTGGCACTGACTGTGGAAATGGGCACAGTATCCACTGTGAGCCTGACACAGAAGCTGGCAGCAGTGGCAGACAACTAACTACAATTACATTACACAGAAAAAAAAAAAAGCATACCCTAACCCTAACCTAGCTATGCATTTCCCTATCTAATCAACAGCAGCTACACTTTCCCTTCTCTCACTAAGCATGCAGCTTGAGAATGAATGTAAAATGGATGCCTTCCAGTAGGCTGGAATGTGTCTGCTGACTGTGAGGTACAGGGTCAAAGTTTACTCAATGATGACGAATAGGGGGCGGATCGAACCGCCCATGCGTTCGCCGTCCGCAACGGATGCGAACACGCTATGTTCGCCGGGAACCGTTCGCCAGCAAACCGTTCGGTACATCACTATTGTAAGGCGTCCTGCACAGTGATCATACCCTGTTTGAGATTCACAATGTCCTCCTCTGCAGCTCTCACTCGGTCAGTGACCTTCCGCATGTCATCCTTTATTATAGCTACATCAGTGGCCAATAGCTTTTTAATTTCCACCACCATATTTTATAAATCTTGTTTGATAACGGGAGCCAACCTGTCTGGGACAGCCAGTGTGGTTTGCTCCACGTTCGGCAGCTCAGGCCGCGTGGGTGTTTCGGCCTGTGAATGGCCAGGGGAGCCTCCATGGCCGTGATGCTCCCAGGTGTCGCCATTTTAGGTTGGGACAGCCACTGGAACTGAGCCCCAATGTCTCGTGCCCCTGATGGTGTGTCAGATGGTGACTTCTGGGACCGCCGTCCCATTGTGGAGGCATGCTCTGTCTGGGGTGTGAGTCTCTCACCAGATATTCCAGACAGCATGAAACCGCCGAGCACTGCAGCCAAGTCATGTTCTGGGGTGGCGTGGTAGGCCCCAGACCTGCGTTTCTTCCGTGGTGCTTTGGGAGAGTGGAAAAACAGCATAAGTCGCTAACGGGGGCTGGTCTGTGTGTGTTCCAGCAATTACCCGTGCAGGTGAGCGGGTTAGTTTCCAAAATCAGACTTTTTGGGGCGATTTCCAGCAGAGCCATGGTAGATGGCTTCTGCTCTGGTTCAGACTCAATCTCTGCCCACATCACTGCCCCATTTTAAAACAAATTCCTACTTGCAGATTACTGTACCTGTGGAAAACTTCCTTAATGTCTTTTCCTCCTACTCTGTGCCTGACACCATGAAGCACAGACAATGTTATTTTTCAGTTTTAACTTGAATTTTTTTTATTATTTATTAAATTAACCAATTTAAGTTTTTAATGGGACATGTGGAGAGATGGACAATATAGTATTTTCACGTACAGGGTCATTGCTTTTAGGTTCAACTTGCAGTGGTTTTATAAAAAAAGGTTATACAATGTTTTAAAATTTAACAATGTATGCATGCTACAGATACTTGCTTCCAGCAAATGATAAATTAAATGTATGTTTACAGAATTGTATAAGCTTCTTTTAATGTACATTTATATACTTAATATAGAATGTTTATTCTTGTACATTCTGCAATATCTTTCAATAAAATTTATTTTAAAAAGCATGTGGCAAAATCACTCAGTCATAGCTTGGATGGTGTAGCCTAAATTTTGCAATTCATATTTTAATTCTCTATAATCAAAATTAAGTGAATAACCCTGCAAATGTTTCTTGTTTAATTAAATTCTAATTTATGCACTCAAATATGCTCTGCTAAATGGTTACTTATTTTGAGACATTCTAAGCATTTAAATTATTTGTTTTATACCCATAACTTGAGCCCTCATTTTTTAAGCAGTTACTCAATGGCCCTTAAGAAAACTCCAGGGGGAACTCACAGTAGCCAGAAGACTTTATTTGTACCATTCCATCCCTCAAATAAAGTGGATGGTTTGATATAAGAATCCTGCCCTTTATGAGCAGGCATAACATTAGATTCAGGCATTATGCAGGTAATGTGGTCCCTTCCTTCATTATGCACATGCTCCCCATAACTAGAATTTCAAAGCAATTGCCACCATGGTCTTCAGAGGGCAGGCAACAACATTTTAACATGTAAATATTTTATATAATAAAGCACATTTAATGTGCTTTACACAGGTCTGGTGCAACAATGTTTGGTTACACAGGGGAAGATACATATTGCTACCTTCCTCCCATTCCCTTCCAAAAATGCATCTTCACCTGTGAGTCCGTTAATCCTTTGTTGAATTTCTAACCTCCTTTTGTGTTTCTTAACTTCTCTTTTGACTGTCTTATCCCCCAGTTTCACATTGTGTGACTCTTACACTTCCCCTTTGTGTGTCTCTTAATCCCCCCAACCATGTTGTTTGTCTCTTACTCCCCCCAGGCCCTTAGTGTGTATCTTTACCCCCAAGCTCCTTTGCCCATCTCCTTCTCTCCTTCCCCAGCCTCTCTGTGTGTCTCTTCCCCTCTCCCAGCAGCTTGCATCTTTCTCCTGCTTTTGTGTATCTTTTTCCCAATCCCAGCCTCTCTGTATGTCTCATTTTCTTCCCAGACCTTAAAGTGTGTGTGTGTCTTTCTCCCCTTCCCAGCCCCTCTGTGTGTCTCTTCCTCCAGAGCACCTTATCTTGTTCTTCCAGCCCCTCTGTGTCTCTTTTTCTCTGCCACAGCCTCTCTGTGTGTTTCCCCCCGTCATGTCTGTTTTGTTTGCCTATTCCCCAGCCCCCTTCCTTAGCCTCTGTCTGTCTCACTTTCCCCCAACCCCTCTGTGTGTCTCTTTCCCCAGCATATTATCTCCTTTTGCCCCTAGCCTCTCTGGGTGTCATTCCCCTCTTTAGTCCATATTTGTCTCTATTGCTCGTTCCCAGCCCCTCTGTATCTGTTTGTGTCTCGCCAGCCCATCTGATGTTTTTCCCCAAACCCCTGTCTTTCTCTTTGCCCCTTTTCCAGTGTGTCTCTTTGTGTGTGTCCCAATCCCAATGTCTTTATCTTTTGCCTCTGCCTCCCCCTTATAGGTCAATTCCCCTCTGTGCCAGCTCACTTCCATATTGTAGTGTGACTAAGCCACAGACCATGGTAGAGTAGCTTCTGATTCCCTCTCCTGGTCTGACAGGAAGCAGTTAGTCGCTCTGTGAATATCCTTCTTGTCAGACTGGGTAGAGCAAAGCAGAAGCTCCTCTAACACGGCACATGGCTCAGCCATGCTATAATGACTGATTGGCTAGAGGGGGCGCTGTTCTACATGCTCCCCTCCTACCAGTCACCTGGATCCTGCCTGTGCCGCCCTGTAGTTTTGCCAGCCCTGGCTTCACATAAATCCTTCATTATTCAGGGAATGTGTTCCCTTCCTGTTATAGCTGACCAAGATGGTTGCAAGTAGCTTGGGCTCCTCAGGGAAATTTGCTTACTAAGCCAAATCCTGGAGAGTTACATTATACTTTTTGCTCAAACCTGCTTATATTTATTTTAAGACATTTTTATTTACACTGTTATTGTGTCCTACTTACCCAGTGGTATTACCTCTTGAAACCACATACAGTTCTGTGTGACAGGAAACTTTCATCTCTCTTAGTTTAACTGACAGAATTGTGCTCCTACTGTCTTTTCCCATTTACTATAAAACGTGCAGTAATCTAGACATTTCATGTTACAACTACACCCATTTCATGTTATATATAATTATTGTGCAATGCCTATACAAGCCTGCCCGATGTACTATGAACTGCAAAAACAAATAATACTACTAAATTCACTAGTTGCCTGGTGTGACCATCACTGGGGATGGAAAACAGACAATATGATACCTCTTTTGTTTTGGTCACCCTTTGCCCAGTATTGGTGCAGGGTATGTTGAATGAATTGATTGTCTGTGCCTCTCCCCTCCCCCCTTTTCCCCTCCTATTGTTTCCCCTGCAGGGTGTTGTCCCATGGATACTTCTAGACCTGTTTAAACTAGCTGACCTGTCCCTCCTCAATCTCCCATCACGCCTTGCTATTGTCTGGCCCCACCCTTCCTTGTACTGTAGTGCCCTATGCACCCTATTGTATGTAAATGAGGCTGTTGGGGGCATAAATATGTGTGCTGTGTTCAAGTTAGTTGTTGTTTTAACCTTCACCAAGTGTCGTCTGGTGTTTGGGGAAAGGGATATAATCTGTTAATAAAAAGGGTGTCCAGGGCTATAAACACAGTAGCCTGGTCCAGTACGGAAAAGCCCCTCAGTGATCCCAGTCAAGTCTCAGTGACTGGGTCTAAAGTGTTCCAGGGCCCCTGACAGCTACGAGGAACCAGACTTGGTTGAGATACCAAGCCGGGGTAGAGGGAGCTCCATCACACCTGACTTCATGCAGGATGCATAAAAAGGGTTTTCACCTTGTTCTGTAGTTTTACATATAAATCTGTATCAATATTATAAATTATATTATTTTGTAAAAAAAAACTCACTATTAGTGAATTAACAAAAACGTATTTCCCTGAGGCAGATGTTTCAACCAATTTCAAGCTGGGCCTAAGTCATACATTTGTGGGTCATTAAAATACCCAGTACACAGAATTCCACATTGTTTTCTTCCCTAATGGGAATAATTCTTACAGATAAAAATTAGCATGTAGATATTCCCTAGAACAGATGCTTTCTTTTTATCTACATCAAATCACACTACCTTTCTCTGCCTTTTTTGCAAACACTTCAATAGCATAATTTTTTTAAATGTCCCCGTAGACTGTTCAATATAAGAAAACATGCAAAAAGGTGAAAGAATATAAAGCATACATAAAAAGTCTATGCATGAACCTTTTCATAACCAAGCACTTCTTGTTTTTAAAAATAGTAGTGTATTATTTATTTGAAACATGAGGTGCATAGCTAGCGCATAATCATATATAAAAAAATAACTTTTGTATATAGATTGCTGTTTAGACAAATTAATATTAAAATGATTTATTACTAAAACTTTACAGAAATATGTGGGGACCCAAAGCTTTAGACACTGCACATCATCCCATATCTTTCATTATTTCACATATAGTCTGAAATAATAGTATAGAATAAACAATATTATTTTATAGAAGTTGTGGCCAAAATAGATAAATAAAAATGGTCAAATATCTTGCTTGTAGTTATTTGTAAGGACCCTGATGGTATTACTAGTAGACTTGAGCGAACCCGAACTGTAAAGTTTGGGTTCGTACCGAACATTACGTTTTTTGGACCCCAGACCCGAACACGGACATATCAGTGTATGTTCGGGTTGCAGTTCGGTGTTCGGCGAATTAATGGCAGGTTTTCAAAGGCTGCAGGGCAGCCAATCAACAAGTGTTTGACTCGTGTGCCCTTAGAAGCCATCACAGCCATGCCTACTAATGGCATGGCTGTGATTGGCCAGTGCAGCATGAGACCCAGCCTCTATATATAAGCTGGAGTCGCGTAGCGCCGCAAGCACATGGGCTATTATTAGTGTAGGGAGAGAATGCTCCCGCTGTGAGGGACAACATTCTAATTGTGTTGCTGCTAATCTGCTAAATAGTACATTTTGGGGCGTGCACTTTATATTTGAGAGTCAAATAGAAGTGTCTAATAGTGTGCTTACAGCGCAGTTGTAAAAATTCAAATTTTCTGGGTGCTAATCTGCTAAATAGTAAATTTTGCGGCGTGCACTTCATATGTGAGAGTCAAATAGAAGCGTCAAATACTGCTGTCACATTGCAGTTTTAAAAATGAAACATTTTTGGGTGCTAAACTGCTAAATAGTATTTTAGTGGGGTGCAATTCATATCTGAGAGTTAAATAGAAGCGTCTAACAGTGTGATTAAAGCGCAGTTGTAAAAATTCAAATTTTCTGGGTGCTAATCTGCTAAATAGTACATTTTGGGGCCTGCTCTTCATATCTGAGAGTCAAATGGTGCGCCTACTGCGCAGCTGTAAACATTTTAATTGTTTTGCTGCTAATCTGCTGCTTACATTGGAGTTTTA